GGGAAAGAGGGCACCTGGACAGGAACCCGCCTTCAGGGTCTGCTTCGCGTAAGATTCCTGACACCTTTGCAGAACTTGAGGAGTCAGGGTAGGATGAGCTCAGACAGGGTGGGGAGAGGGTCCTAGCGATGGCTCAGCTGTAATTTCCTTCCAAGCTAGCAGGATGGGGATGAAATTCACATCTGAAACATAATTCGATGCGATGTTTCATGCACACCCCAGATCGTGGGTCCAAGTTCCCACCTGCTCTGACAGCTCTGTGATGAAGACCACAGTCAGACCTGGACAGGACCCTGGCTCCACTGTTTCTGGGCTCTGTGGCCTCAGGTCTTAAGAAACTTAAGCTCTGGGCTTCCCTGGTGGCACAGTGGTTGGGAGCCCGCCTGCCGATGCAGGGGACACGGGTTCGTGCCCCAGTCTGGGAAGATCCCACACGCCGCGGGGCGGCTGGGCCCGTGAGCCGTGGCCACTGAGCCTGCGCGTCCGGAGCCTGCGCTCCGCAGCGGGAGAGGCCACAACAGTGAGAGGCCCGCGTATCGCAAAAAAAAGAAAAGAAAAAAGAAACTTTAGCTCTCAGCCTCAATTTGCTCCCCTGTAAACAGGGCCAATGGAGGCCTGCCTGGCCAGAGGCTTGGGAGAATTCAAGAAGACTGCTCTTAAGGGCCTAGCACAGTGTCCAACGCAGATCAAATAAGAGGTAACCACTGTCACTCAATGTTTTTTTTTTATTCTCCCTGCTGACCTGCACCTAATAAAGTACACCTGAAATACTAGAGTTCCCCCAAACCACTTTCTAATCCACACACACACACACACACACACACACACACACACACACACCCCTCTTTCTCAACTCCGCCTCCTTCCCCTCCTCAGCATGTCAGAACTGGAAAGAGCTCAGAGACTGCCTACTCCAATTTCCTCATTTCACACAGAAGGCAACAGAAGCCCAGAGAGGGAAGGAACTGGCCCAAGGTCACACAGAAGTCAGAGGCAGGGCCAGGACCAGAACCCCAGATTCCGGAGCCTCTCGGTCTGGGACACTTTCCTGCACATTCCCACCCCTGCTCTTCACCCCCTTCCCCTTCTCCCCTGTTGTTTGTCCTCCCCAGTGGGGGCCCCCTGGGGCACTGCCCAGCCCCCAAGGAAATCTCACCCTCCTTTGCCATAGCCCCTAAGCCCGCAGGGGTCAGCTAAGGTCCCGTGTCACCTGGACCCCCCTGAGGGATCTAACCATGTCCTCCTCAGCCTGCCCATCACTGGGGTGCTGCTGGGGCCGTGGATGGACAGAGCTCTGGGGAGCACCTTGAAAGGCTGATCTCCCTCCCTGCCCTCTGCCCCCCAGTCCAGCCCCACTCACAGGTCTTGCCCTCCAGCTTCGATGCCTGCCTGGCAGGCAGAGCCCAAGGTCCCACATCACAGGGACAGCTCCACTCTCCCTGTGAGCTCTGCTTCTCACCACCTCTCTGAGGACAGTGCTTTCCCCTGGACCAGAAACGGTGGCTAGGGAGACTTGGTAAAGACTTCTGGCATCAACGCTGGAGGTGGGGTGGTGCTTTCTTGGATCTCTGATTTTTCTCTTTCGTATTTTCCTACTCTACAAAAGCTCTTGGAAAGTGAAGAGGCAGTTAGTTGAACTCCATGTCCTATCAGGAGCTAAAAGCAAATACTAGACGTCCACAAGAGGCCTCATTCTGCCGGCAGAGGCCCAGCAGATGAGCCACACGTACATACATGACTGCCTGGCAGGCCTTGGGAGCCCTCCTATCACACAGCTTTACTCTGAGGATCCGTCTCTGCCACCGCTGGCTGTTAAAAGAACCAGGTGGCTGTTTGAGTGACCCAGTGGCTGAACTGCCTCACATCACAGCCTCTTCTGTCCCTTCCCTGAAACTGGTTCTTTATGTCACTTCCAAGTGCCCACACAGTAGGCACTGAATGAGGACACTTGCTTCCACCAACAAATTAATCAACCAGTTGTTTGAAATGAATGTCCCCATTGGTGAAAGCCTTGAAGGAAACACCCAAACCATGGCTTCTCCAAATTTTCAGCTAAGACTGCTCAGTGACAGAGGAGGATGAACGTGGGCATATAAGGGAATCAGCTGTCCTCAACAAGAGTCAGTGGGGGTTTTTTGTTCTGTTTTGGAAGCCTCCTATTTGGCTTTAAAGCTGATGTGAATTTTGCACTTCGTACACCTGGGTTTGTGCTGATATAACAATTATATAACATCATTTTTCTTTCCCAAAATACTCAAGCGAAATTGATGTTCTGGAAAGATGGCTATGAGGTGGTATGGCCTCATGAACCCCAGGGACCAGCACTGGCCTAAGTTATTATATAGGAAACTGAATTTCAGGCCTATGGTTTCCTCTTCCAGGCTCCTTTTCCCTCTCCCTTACAAAAGTGGTTCCTAACACTGTGGGGAACAGGGAGTTCTCTGAGAATTTGAGCTATGGCTTCTCTCCCCAGAAAACACAAAGAGGCATGGGAACTCCACAGTTTGCACTTATCTACAAGGAATACGTAACAAAACCTATCTAACATCCACTTTAAAAACCCTGCCTCAGTCTATCTCCCTTGGGTCCCATGCCCCCCAACACCACTGTGATACAGAGAAACTGTTACCCAAGAGGTTGGAATTGTTCCTCATGGAGAAGCAAAGGAGGTTTAGCGACACAGCCATCAGGAGGGGACAGGGTGAGGGCAGCTGACGCTCAACTACATCCGTGAAGATTCTGAGCCAGTGTGAAAGCCCACTAATGGGTCAGGAGGTTTAGACCCAGATGCTCACAACCCCACCTCCCTGGGAGTCTTCAAATTAAGACCATTTGCCCAGAATGGCTAAACCAGAGGGGCCCACCCAGCGGCCAGGGTCTACCCTGCTCTCCACCCTTCTCACCATGAACATCTCTCCCTTTCCTTCCTTCCCTTTGTTTGTTACCGCGTTCTTCCTTTCCCTTTTCCTGACAGTCCTCTCCACTTTCTCTTTTCTGCTCTCCTCTGGCTCTGCCTCGCTCTAGCAAATGGCATTACCAGATACCACGTAGGGACACGGGGTGCTTCTCAACCCTTGAGTTAGAGGCTGGGAACCTGAAGGCAGCAAGATGGATGAGGTGACCTCAGAAGGTGCTCTCCAAGAACCTAGCTCGCAAACCCCAGAAACCCGAGAACTCGTGGGAAATCTATCACGTTTTGGAGGATGGTCTGAGGAGCCACTGAGACATGGTGTTGCTTGGTGTCGCTGATTCCATGAAGTGCGGTGAGGTGCCTGGGCCCACCACCTCCTCCGACGGGACTTTCTCCTTACCTTGTAGGATGGGGTCTCTGTGCCCGCGTTCTCAGCCTGCACAACAATGTAGGCATGTAAGAAGTTGGAGGCAATCATATCTGGGACAAACGGTGTGTTTTCTTCTTGGAAGATGATGGCCACAATGTCATTCCCAATGTGTCTCTTTCTCTGGAGCTAATCAGAAAGTGTTCCATTGTTATAAGCCAGTTAGGAACATCCTGAAAACAGAATAGGTCTATATAGGAAATTCCTCATTATTCTATCGTTATACATAAACCCCGGAATGCTGAGACCTCTCTCTCCAAGGAGCTTTCTCTTTCAATCTCTAGAAGCCACTAAAAAGGAAAAAAATGAGGAAAATGCCTACGTTGTCAGGGAGAGGCTGGCAAGCTTCTTACTGAGCTCTACATCACGTAGAGGCAGCCCTGACTCAGGACTCGTGGAGACTAGTTAAAAAGTGAGGCCGGGGGCTTCCCTGGTGGCGCAGTCGTTGGGAGTCCGCCTGCCGATGCAGGGGACACGGGTTCGTGCCCCGGTCCGGGAAGATCCCACATGCCGCGGAGCAGCTGGGCCCGTGAGCCATGGCCGCTGAGCCTGCGCGTCCGGAGCCTGTGCTCCGCAACGGGAGAGGCCATAACAGCGAGAGGTCCGCGTACCGCAAAAAAAAAAAAAAAAAAAAAGTGAGGCCGGGTTTTGCCCTGGGAGAGCTTGTAATTGATCTGGGAGAGACACAAACACAGGTGGAGCCACCTGAGAACACTAACAAAGCCACCAGTCAGCAAATGCTAAATCAGCCGCTACCCACAAAGTGCCTGACACTATGGGGGTGGAGAAGAGGGCAAAATCAGAGGCCTGGTAGCAATCTGAGAGGGCTTCCTGGAAGAGGAGATTGGGAGAGAAGGGAGCACTTGATGGAAATGTGGATGAGCAGGAAGGAGGGGGCAGATAATCCTATACCAGAAGGGAGAAGAACCATGCTCAGAGAAATACGGGCAACTTGGCTTGGTGGAGGTCATGGGGGAGAGAGAAACACAACCCCAATTCAGCATCCCAAGCTCTGCCAGGTGCTGTCACAGGTGATCTCAATCCCCAAGCACCTACTGTGTGCCAGGAACCATACTGGGCTGTTCCCATGCAAGATTTCAAATGTTAAGGCCCTCTTGTATACCAAATCCAGGCTAGGTGCTTACCTACACTTTGTTCCTTTATTAAACACCTACTGCACGTAAGCTCTGTTTCCCACTGAGTTTCTCACTTACTGAGCACCTGCTGTATACTAAGCCCTGTGCTGGGCACTTTTACAAATTGTCTCACTTATGGCACACACATCATCTCATTTCTTAGGAAGAGAAATTAACATGTATTCAGTCCTTGCTGAGAGCCAAGCTCTGTGCACATCCCACTTAACAGGTGACACTGAGAACAAGCCAGGCAGAGAACAGTCCTCAGTCTTAGGCTGGGGCAGTGGGTGAGGGGGGTCGTGAGGGAAAAGAGCTGAAGGTAAAACACTGAGAGAAAACCTACTTTGGGTACAAAAGGAATCCTGCTCCTATTTGTTTCTGAAACATTCAGTAGTTATTTTAGAGCCAAACTGCAGTCTCCTTTGCCAATTTCCTTTTTTCCTAAGAAGCCAGGCACTATGTTTACAATATTACATCTGTGCTCCCTCCTGGGTTCCCTGCTCAGAAACAAATGGGTCCAGGTTTGGTGAAAGGCCTAGCTTCCTTCCTTATCTTCCTGGAGACTGAAATGGTACAAAGAGTGGGACGGGGCAAATGGGACCACAGCCAGGGACCAGCTGCTGGTTTCAGGGCTCAATGAGAAAAAGAAGCCAGGTCCTCCGCGGGGACATGCAGCTGTCAGAAGCAGCAAATGAGAGGGAAAGGAGGAATACACTGGAAGCAGAGGTCTCATTCAGGGTTCTCCAGTCAAGGAAAAGGCTGGATTCCTGCCCACGGCAGGTGTCCTAAGAGGTAAGGCTGTATGACTAGACAAGCTGGAGACGGGTGTGAGGGAGTCACATGCAATAACCAGCTTGACGTCTCTGGGCCAGGAAGAGTGTCCTGGACAGTGAACAGTCATGAGGTAGGAAGCCTGCCACAAGCCAGGCATCGTACTGAGCCCTACAATCAGAACCTTATGTGATCCCCACCACAACCCTCTAATGTACGTGGTGTTAACTCCATTCTACAGATGAGGCAAATGAGGACACAAGATTACCAGCTTGCCCAGAGTCACATACCCCTCAGTGGCAGAGCTGGCTTCAAGCCACCACCTGCAGACCCCATCATGTACTCTTTATCACCAGCCTACACGATCAGGGCACCTGGGCTCTGCTCACAGCTCTGCCCCTGATCACCTGGGAGACAGTCTTTTAACCACTGTTTCCCCATCAGTCACAGTGGGACTGATGGGGAAACTGTCCCGCCTCCCACACAGGCTGCTGACCTGCGGCCTTGGTGGAATAACACAGTAGTTCAGGTTTTGATAAAAGGAACAAAGTTGAACAGACAGGCTTCTTGATTATGAAAATGGGGAAGGCGGCCTCGGTTCTCCAGGGAGACCAGACGCAGGCTTTCACCTCACACGCCCCAGGCTCCTGAAGCCATCCTGAACCCGGTTACCTGCTGGGTGTCTCCCTCGGTAAACGGCAGCTTTGTGGAGACGTGAAACATGATCTCCCTGTCCCGGAATATCGTGTACACTGATTCCACCCCCGTCTGTCCATGGGTCACATCCAGGCCTCCTCGGAAACTGTCAGGGGAACGGGAAAGTGCCAGGGGAAGAGAGAGAAAGAGAGAGAAGGGAAGTGGGCGACTTGGTACAACCTTCCCTAAGGACACGGGGGCAGGAGAATGAGAAAAGTTGTGGAAGAGTTGAGGGCAGAGAGACTATGATGCTGGGAAAGCAGATAAGGCTCATCTTCTGAGCAGATGAGCCCTGGCTTCTAACCATAAATTACTATTTCAAAGACAAAGGCAGGACCTCCATTCCAAGCCTTGGCTGTGTCCCCTCCACTCCATGGGAAGAGAGGTCGTCCGTCCATCCACAACCCCAGACAAATGCCGTCCCAGCTGCTAGTGGCCCCCAAGGCTGGGCATAAGCCTTTGCTCTCCGCAAGGCTGTGTCCAGGTCCTCAGCCCAGAGCCAGGGCAGCCGTCCATCCTTTTGGATGGTGGTGAGCCCCACAGGAGTATCCGGAGTCAGCGAGAAGAGGGGACAAATGCTTGACTTCTACCCAGCCAGTCCCGGATATGGAGACCCCACCACAGCAGCACCCCGCTGGGAGGTATCCAAGGAGGTCCCTTCTTTGGCCACCTCCTTGCAGGCAGGAAAAAAAAAAATACTAAGGAACTGGGTGGGCTTCCCAGAACTGCCCCTACTTCCCTTATAGAAACATGGCTGCTAGCCGTGGCTCATCTTCAGCAAGGAGAGTGGGATACATGTTCCTTTAAGAAAATGAAATAAAACAGATCCTGAACAACAGGTGCCCCCAACCCCAAGCACTATAATACAAGCCAGACATGTGCTCAGCCCCACATGGCGGAAAACACAGGTTCTAGACCAGCTTCTGCCACTAAGTCAGCACATGACCTTGGGCATATCACCTAATCTCTCCAGGCCTCAGTTTCCTTTCTCTTGAAAATAAAGGGATAGGATTACATGACCTCTGGGGTCCTTCCTGGTTTTAATATACTTTATTTCATCAGTTGCAAGATGGAACATTTTTTCCCATTTTAACCTCTCTGAAATCAGGATATATCTTATAAGGATGGCATCTCAGAGCCAATGGAAGGTGGTATAATAAGAACAATAACAATGACGACCAGTGCTGACTCTGCGTGGCACTGGCATAAGTGCTTCACGTGCATTATCTATTTCAATTCTCCAGCAAGCTTGTGGGGTCAGTACTATCTTTATCTCCCTTTTTACAGACAAGGAAACTGAGGCTTGCAGAGGCTAAGTCACCTGTTCAAAGTCATAGAGCTAATTAGTGGCAGAGATGGGATTTTGACCCATGTGTGACTGGTTCCAGACAGCAGTGATGACCTTGAAGGGGGAGGAAGAGGAGGAGAGAAGGGAGCAGAGGAAATAAGTGATTATCAAGCACCTACTCCATGCCAGACACAGAGCTAGTGCATTCACACATGTTAGGACATCCCGGTAATGCGGCTGCTGAGGTGGGAAACTCTGAGGGCTCAGCCGTGTGCCAGCCACAAGGCAGAGAACAGGCTGGCCAGGTCCGAAGGCCCTCCCCAAGTGTTGCCTTTGTCAAGGAACATCAAAGGCCAGAGCTTTCCAAGAAATAGCCCCAATATTCTTTCTGTCCGCTTAGAGAACCATACACTGTTGCATAGATTCCTTCCAGAGGGATTACGGTATTTGCACCAAAACTCTTAATTGACCATTCTTTTTGTGTCTTATCTAAAATGGGTCATTTCCCCCAAAACTACATAGGGTCCTCTTTCCGGAATGCCTAGCAGGTGAGTGACCTGCTCACCTGGAAGGGAAGGTGGATTCATTTTACTCTCAGTCTGAGCCAACTGTAATTAGGAAGGCAAATCTCAGGTGGAACGATTTCATCATGCATCCTAAGGGCAAAAGTCAATGCCTTTCAGACCATCTGCCATTCAGGATTATCCCCTGTACCACCGATTCCTTCGAGATGCAATCAATGAATGTTGATCATTTGCTGAAAAATAATCCCATGTTCCTTGTGCGTGTTGTTAACTCTCACATGCCACCCGCTGAAACTGCAGTCAGTCCTCACCCTTCCTCTAGGACCTCATCAATAGGGGCAGAGCCATCACTTGGCTAAAACCCACCCTTTGAAGTCCTGCAGCGTGATGGTGTCTCCCAGAAGATCTAAGAACTCCTTGAAAGCTGGGCTCTCCTCACTGTTCCCAAACAGCTCCTCCTCCAGGGTCTGAAAGAGAAACAGAATAAGGAGCAGGAGTTCAGAAAAATAAGCTTTCTCGTTGCCGCCAAGAGAAGGAATGTGATTGTCCAGACACCTGGTCCCTTTCTTCCTTTCGCCATCCCCCTCACTTGCCATCCAGTGGCTCTGTCATCCATGGGAGGAAGGACTAATAGAGGCTTACTCAACAGAGTTGGATTTTGGGGGCTGGTTAATGAGGACTTTCTATATGAACAAAAGCTGCTGCTCAGTTTAAAAAAAAAAAAAAGGCAAAGCTGAAGCAAAGAATTCTTAGACTTGATACCAAAAACCAATCTCAAAATGAAAAATTAATAGTTGGACTTCTGACAAAGGACTAGTATCTAAAATACATAAAGAACTCTGAAAACACAATAGTAATCAAAACCACAATGAGGGACTTCCCTGGCGGTCCAGTGGTTAGGACTCCACGCTTCCAGTGCAGGGGGCACAGGTTTGATCCCTGGTTGGGGAACTAAGATACCACGTGCCATGAGGTGCAGCCAAAAACAAACAAACAGACAAAAAAAAACCCAAAAACAAAAAACACAATGAGATACCACTCACACCATAATCAAAAAGAAAGACAATAAGACGTGTCAGTGAGGATGTGGAAAAATCAAAACCCGCTTACGTTGCTGGTGGGAATGTAAAATGGTACCATCTCTTTGGAATATAACCTGGCAGTTCCTCAAAAAACTAAGCATAGGGCTTCCCTGGTGGCGCAGTGGTTGAGAGTCTGCCTGCCGATGCAGGGGACACGGGTTCGTGCCCCGGTCCGGGAAGATCCCACATGCCGCGGAGCAGCTGGGCCCGTGAGTCATGGCCGCTGAGCCTGTGAGTCCGGAGCCTGTGCTCCGCAACGAGAGAGGCCACAACAGTGAGAGGCCCACATACCGCAAAAAAAAACTAAGCATAGAGTTACCATATGATCCAGCAATTCCACTCCAAAGAATATACTCAAGAGAAATGAAAACAAAAGTCCATACAAAAAAACTTGCACACGAATATTAGTATCAGCATTATTCATAATAGCCCCAAAGTAGAAACAATCAAAATGTCCATTAACTAACAAATGGATAAACAAAATGTGATATATCCATACAATGGAATATAATTCATCCATTAAAAAGAATAAAGTTCTGATTCATTGCACAACATGAATGAACCTTGAAAACATTATGCTAAGTAAAAGAACTAGACATTGAAGGCCACATATTATGATTCCATTTACATGAAATGTCCAGAACAGGCAAGTCCATAGAGACAGAAATAAATTTGTGGCTGACAGGAGCTACAGAGTATGAGGATGATGGGAGTGACTGCTAATGGGAATGGAGTTTATTTCAGGGGTGGTGAAAATTTTCTAAAGTTAGTGGTGAGGGCTTCCCTGGTGGCGCAGTGGTTGAGAGTCCGCCTGCCGATGCAGGGGGCGCGGGCTCGGGCCCCGGTCC